ATCAGTGGAACAGTCATAGAACAGCTAAAAATTAGCTAATTATCATGCAAATTAGGTAATTAACGAGCATGGATTTTTACCAAAACCTAATCAAATCTGCGCATTGGCCCAGAGCATCTATGCACCAAGTTTCATCAAAAACCGATGTATGGTTCTTGAGATAGCAGTGGACCAGTCGGACACACATACACACATACACACACACACACACACACACACACACACACATACACATACAGACACACTAACTGCAAAGACTCCCATTTTGTGCTTCGCACATGGGAGTCAAAAAAAAAATGAACCACATTTTTTGATTGCTTCAAAAATCACAATTTATGGTTGCATCATTGTGCCAGTGACAGGTCAAAATGGATAGAGGGCACACTGCTTTGTAGGGCTGGAAAGCAGTGAGAAAGGCATAAATTCTGTTGTGATTGAGTTTTCAACTTAATGAATCGCATTTGTTGTATACTTGATTATTGAAATATTACTTATTATGATGACAGACAAAACTATCATTTACACAGGTGTATGTGCTACTAATACAGAATATAGTCATTGTGTTTAGCACACTCCAAAAAAAGAATTCAAAACTAAAAAGCACTACACTGTAGTCGATAAATGAGGAAATACAGTTTTGACCAGGATAGCTTGGGAATGCCACAAAAGTTACTTGATTTAAAAAGCTTTCAGTAAAATGTTGACAACCATACAACTTTAAAATGGGATTAGACTGGTATGAGGCATAAGATAATCACAGATATTGAAGGGTTCAAAATTCACGGGGGCTATGGCCTAGATGAAATATAAGAGTGCCCCACGAAATTGTCAATTACTGCACAATTTCAAACCAGAAGTTAAAGCACTGCACGGATGGGCATGTGAGGTTTGAGTTAGAAAGAGTATACTAATGGTAATGGTTTTGTATTAGGCTAGTTAAACAAATTTTTAATTAGTACACAATTCTAGTTTTAATATTTATTAGTAATTTGAAAAGGCAAAGTTACGGACAACTCACACTTTACTGTTGGCAGTCGGGGAAGTTAATCACTTGAAGAGCCATGCAAATTACACTGACAATGATTATATGGTAATTTCTAACAACACAATGAGTGGAAGTCATCTGCCAAAAAATTGTCAACACATTTATTCAAAACTATATATGGTACACAGCATAATGAAGTAAGTTAATGGATTGAATGTTGCTGGATATACTTGAGGGTTAGATTGAAATATATATGGACACAATACACACTAGTGTTTTATTATGCTAACTTATTTATCAGTGTTTCTATTCTCTTATTCTAGGATGATGGGACAATTCCAGAAAACAGATATTTGATCCCACAGAGTATCTGGAAAAGATCCAACATGTGCATGTTACAACCAGCAACTGTATAATGATAGAAAACAAAAGTCTTAAAAACAGCCAGACAAGATAATAATTGTGATTCTTAGGGGGGGTTCTGCAATGTATGAGGGTCAATAACAACTTTACCACCTCTACACAGGACATAAAGCAAGGAACTATCGTTTAAAAATACAGGAATGAATAGAGTCTGAATAAGTACAACTAGGTGTACAATAGCACTAGGATAATTACCTCTAGGAGGAGTAACATCTTCATGGTTGGTAGAGCAAGCTGTATGGAGACACATGCAATAGGGAGGTGCCTAAACTAGCACACATACAACATAAAGGGTTGGGGCAAATTGTATTTATGTCATTAATCTTTCACGATAATGATGGGTTGCCACCATGTATAATCATCTTTTCTCATGCATGCAGTTCAAATGATTTTCAGTTTAGAACTGCATAAAGAAATTGGGGGATATTTACAACTAATAGTTGACACTATTCACCTCAATTTCAAAATCTAACATCCATCTCAATTTATAAGAATAAAAGATGTGTAAATGGTATGATTATTTTCATTATCTGTACAGCCAGACTGTCTCATTCTCCACACACATGTATAACCATCTGAATACTAAGTAAGAGACAATTAATACCCTTACTATTATTTATCAACTGATTTACAATCCATAACGCAATCGTAAACTGTAGTAGTGTCAACATTAGACAATTTAGGTGAAGGTATGCAGCATTCTCATCACAGTTTAAGCTAGCCAGGGTAATAATTTAAAAATGTGGGCTAAACCTTTGAAAATTACAACATTAGGGAAAACGTGCACTGAAAATAAGATTTATACTGGTAGTTTTAGTTGGATCACCTAGATCCATCGGTGCTTATGGGGTAAAGAGGTATCTCATAATTCTAGCATGATTGGTGATGAATGTGCTGCACATGCTCAACTCAACTATGTCATGACCTCAGTATTGTCTACCTGGCTGTGTGAGCAACAATACCACAGCTCCTTATAATTCTGCTGTCCTTAAAAGACCAGACTGAATTTGATTTATAAATCAGTAAATTAGTCTAGTTTTTAAACACTTTGCAGATGTAATACCAGGTACATTTGTTCATACATACCTGAAATAATCCCACCATACATGACATTATGCAAATGATATCTTCACATTTTGCACACATGATGAAGTCACACACACATCATCAGATTTACTACTCAATTCACTTTTTAATGGCATTGACAAAATAGCTAGATTCCAAATAATAGTGAAAATGAATAGCCTTCCGGAAAACATGCAATAAATGTTATGATTCAATGAAACCAGTGTTTTTAAACCATTTCATTCCAATACTGGATTATACCATTTATAGAAAGAGTAAAGCTATGTAATGATGAATGATTATTTAAACTCACAACAATAAATAATCCATTCAATATACATTTAACAAAACCTAAGTTTGAATACTAAGTACATATAGGAGAGAACAATGTAATTTATGATAATAAACTTACATGAGTGGCTCTCTTTCCAAATTCTATCCATCGCAATGATGCAAAATTAGTTGATTCAGCACAGTTGAATCCATGATTGTAGCCAGCATGGTAGCCATATGGGAATGTTATCATAAATTCACCAGCCTCTTGTGTGATCTGTAAGAAATACAACAGCATCTTTGAGAGCATATACAACACCAAGAACATAAATGAAACAAAACAAGTCATTGTCAATGACACGTCCCCGTTCCGTTCATATTTGAGTGACATATACATTCAAAGCAGATCATGACCGAAATGCACCTGCATATGTACAACACATTGTGCTAAATCTGAACAAAATCCATCCATGCATGACTGAGATCCGGTTCTGGAATTGTGAAAATACGTGATTTTGATGCATTTTCGGCCTTAAAATGGCCATCATTCCGCTATTGTTAAGCAGATCATGAAACAAATGCACATATCTATTTGTG